GGGGACACTGGGACGGGGACATGGAGTTGGGGACATAGGAATATGATGATGATAACACATGGGGTAGGAGCACTGGGGTGAGGACACTGGGGATGGGGACACAGGGATGGGGACACAGGGATTGAGATACTTGGGGATGGGAACAGCAGGGATGGGGATTTTGGGATGGGGAGACCAGGATGGGGACACTGGGACAGGGATTCTGGGATGGGGACACTGGGAAGGGGACACCAGGAATGGGGACACCAGTGGTAGGGCCTTTGGGATGGGACATAAGCATAGGAACGGGGGACAGGGACATGGGGATCAGGATGTGATGATGCAAACACATGGGATAGGAGCATTGGGATGAGGACACTGAGGATGAGGACACGGGGATGGGGACACAAGGATTGAGACACTGGGGGATGAGAACACCAGGGATGGGGATTTTGGGATGGGGAGACCAGGATGGGGACACTGGGATGGGGATATGGGGACTGGACCACTTGGGGATGGGAACACCAGGGATAGGGATGCTGGGATTGGAAGACCAGGGCAGGGATGCTGGATGGTGACACCGAGATGGGGACACCGGGATGGGGACACTGGGGATGGACCCAGGGCTGGGGACCCCCCTCTCGGCCCCATCCCTGATGTCCCCATCGCTGTCCCCATCCCCGATCCCCGCAGGCTTTGTGAGCTTTGACAACCCGGCGAGCGCCCAGGCCGCCATCCAGGCCATGAACGGCTTCCAGATCGGGATGAAGCGCCTCAAGGTGCAGCTCAAGAGGCCCAAAGATGCCAACCGGCCGTACTGAGCCTGGTGAGGACCCCCCCCCCCCCCGGGGCACCCCCTGCCCACCCCAGCCCTTCTAATACCCCCATTTCTCCCCCCCCACCCCAGGTCCGGAGGCTCTGGAGCAGCACCTTTGGGTGCCTCCCTATTGCAGAGCAGCCCCCATCTCCCCCCCCCCCAACAAAGTGGTGCCCGCAGGGGGCTCAGTCCTGCTGGGGGGGGGACACAGACCCCCACACGCTCAGGAAGGATGGACCCCCCCTCCAGGACCGATCCGGACCCCCCAGTCCAGGCAGGGCTGGGTGGGCCCTGGGTGCCAGCACCCACCAGCACCCAGGTCCAACCTGCCCTGGGGGGGCACCCACCCTCTCTCCCCTTCACCCCAGGACCCCCCCACTCTCCACAGGGCCCTGCCCCCCCCCCCCGGGGGGCCCTGCTTGGAGCTTTTCTCTCACCAAACAGGACCAAAACCAGCTCCAGGCTGGAGAGGGGGGATCCTGATGGGGGGGGCACACGCTGTGGTTGGGGGGTCTCGGCCCCAGCACCCTCCCAGGGTCTGGGGGGGCCATGCTAGGGTGCAACGGGACCCCCCAGCACACACTCACACACACACACACACACACACTCACTGCCACCCTGCTTCACCCCTCAACACCCCCAAACCTGCCTCAGTTCCACCCCCCCCCCCCCAAACTCATCCATGGGCACGGCCACGGCTGCGGGGTGCTGGATGCTGCACAGACGTGGAGCAGGGGAATCCGGGATGCTCCGGCACTGGGATGTTCTGGTACTGGGATGCTCCAGTACTGGGATGCTCCAGTACTGGGATGCTCCAGCACCGGGATGCTCTGGCACCGGGATGCTCCAGTACTGGGATGCTCCGGCACTGGGATGCTCTGGTACTGGGATACTCCGGTACAGGGATGCTCCGGCACTGGGATGCTCCAGTACTGGGATGCTCTGGCACTGGGATGCTCTGGTATGGGAATGCGCTGGCAGTGGGATGCCCTTGTACCATGATGCGTCAAAACTGGGATGCTCTGGTACCAGGATGTGCTGGCACTGGGATGCTTTGGTGCTGTGATGTGTCGAAACTGGGATGCTCCTGTACCAAAATGCTCTAACACTGGGATGCTCTGGCACTGGGATGCTCTGGCCACTGGGATGCTCTAGTACTGGGATGTTCTGGTACCAGGATGCTCTGGCCACTCGGATGCTCTAGTACTGGGATGTTCTGGTACCAGGATGCTCTGGCCACTTGGATGCTGTAGTACTGGGATGTTCTGGTACCAGGATGCTCTGGCCACTGGGATGCTCTAGTACTGGGATGTTCTGGTACCAGGATGCTCTGGCCACTGGGATGCTGTAGTACTGGGATGTTCTGGTACCGGGATGCTCTGGCCACTGGGATGCTCTAGTACTGGGATGTTCTAGTACCAGGATGCTCTGGCCACTGGGATGCTCTAGTACTGGGATGTTCTGGTACCAGGATGCTCTGGCCACTCGGATGCTGTAGTACTGGGATGTTCTGGTACCAGGATGCTCTGGCCACTGGGATGCTCTAGTACTGGGATGTGCCAGCACTGGGATGCTCCGACCCTGGGAGGCTCCAGTACGTGGTTGAGCGATGCTGTGCTGGTGCTGTACGAACCCGAAGCAGCCAGAGCCGGGCATGGAGCAGCCAAACACCGGGAGCACGGAGCATGGACACAGGGGGGGACTTGAGGCCTCTGGCTCTGCCTGGACCCACAGCGGCCAAACCCGGGGTGCACCGGGCACCCACCAGCCAAAACGGGGCCGCATCCGGCACCATCCGGCCCCCAGCAGCTCCCAGCCGGCGCCGGTGCCCCCCCAGCACCCCCAGCCCCACGTTTACACCCGCTGCTCCCCGCTGTAAATAAGGGGTTGGGGGGCGCGGGGGCCTCTGTCTCTTCCCCCCCTTTTGGGGGGTTTGGTACCTGCTGAGTTGGGATCGGGGTGGGTTGGGGGGGGGGTGTTGGGGGGGGGGATGGGACCCCCGGGAGGTGACGTCAGCGGCCGAGCCGCCGCCGCTTTAATTTATTTGCTATTTATTGCGGTTCCTTTGGAGAATTTCCATTTTTTTCTCTCTCTCTTTTTTTTTTCTTTTTTTTTCTGTCGAAATAAAAGAAGTTCAAAAACCAAAATAACGCTCAAAGGCGCCTCTGACCCCCTCCCCCCCTCCCCATCACCCTTCCCCCATCCCCCCCCCATTGCCGCAGGGCCCAGCGGCTTCATCAATAAATCAATTTATTTAAAAGAATATGTTACAATTACTTACACTGAGTGAGTTGAGCAAAGCCCCGCGGGGGGGGGAGGGGAAAAGGGGGGGTTTATTTCGTTCTTTTCTTGGTTTTGCACTTTTTGGGGTCGTTTTCTTCACATTCTGAGTCACGAATAGAAAAGACACAAACGCGGCTGCAAATAAATTAAAGAGGATGTGGATGGCAGCGGGATCAGGCCTGGGTTTGGGGACACACACTCACATGGGACACATGGAACCGGCTCGGACACAGCCATGAGTGGGGTTATTGCTGAGACCCGACGCTGTCGTGGCACTGATGGGCCCCGGGGTGGGGGCTTTGGGATCCCAAAGGGCTCCCAAGGCAAATCCGGTTACACTGGAGCTGGCTGAGGATTCCCTGCTCCTTGCTGCAGGTGTCCAAGAGCTGAGGAATGGGGAGGATCCCCCCCAACAGTGACCGGGACCCACAGGGAGGTTGGGAATAGCAGCAGCACGGGGATGGGATGGGATCAAGGCGGGGAGTGGGGCTGGGGTCACGCAGCCAAAGGCGCCTCCGGTGGCTGCATCCAGGTTCTCCCATCCCAGTGAGGGGCAGATGAACCTCGGCTTCTGCTGGTGCCCAGTGGGATGATGGCAATGATGGTGCTGATGCTGGTGCTCACCAGCCCTGGTGCCCAGCGGGATGTTGGCAATGATGGTGCTGATGCTGGTGCTAACTGGCCCTGGTGCCCAGTGGGATGATGGCAGTGATGGTGCTGATGTTGGTGCTCACCAGCCCTGGTGCCCAGCGGGATGATGGCAGTGATGGTGCTGAGGCTGGTGCTCAACAGCCCTGGGGCCCAGCAGGATGATGGCACCAATGCTGGTGCTCACTGGCCCTGGTGCCCAGCGGGATGATGGCACTGATGGTGCTCACCAGCCCTGGTGCCCAGCAGGATGATGGCAGTGACGATGCTGATGTTGGTGCTCACTGGCCCTGGTGCCCAGCAGGATGAAGGTAACCATGGTGCTGATGCTGGTGCTCACTGGCCCTGGTGCCCAGTGGGATGATGGTAACCATGGTGCTGATGTTGGTGCTCACCAGCCCTGCTGCCCAGTGGGATGATGGCACTGATGGTGCTGATGATGGTGCTCACCAGCCCTGATGCCCAGTGGGATGATGGCAGTGACGGTGCTGATGTTGGTGCTCACCGGCCCTGGTGCCCAGTGAATGATGATGGCAGTGACGGTGCTGATGTTGGTGCTCACCAGCCCTGGTGACCAGCAGGACGATGGCAATGATGGTGCTGATGCTGGTGCTCACCAGCCCCGCTGCCCCATGGCCATGTTTCACTGTTACAGGACCACCTCCTGCCCAACCCTAGGATGCTCCTCAGGAACCAGCCCCAATCCTGCACAAGATGCAGCGAAGCCACTGTCCAACCTCATTCCCCCTCCTCAGCCGCTGGCACATGGAGGAGCCTGAGCCCATCACCCGGCCCCAGCCTCGGGAGCCCATCCCAGGAACGCCGCCATGCTCCCTCAGTCCGTGTGGAAACACCCAGAACCCAACCAAAACACAGGGAAAACCAGCAAATGAAGAGCTTGTGGTGGTGGAGAGATCCTTGTGTCCAGAGAGGGGTTTCCCTGCAGCATTCCTCCTTTTTGCTCCTTTTCCTCCTCTTTTTCCTCCTTTAATTCTCCTTTGGAGTCAGTGTTCAGGCCCCACACTGGGCTGCGTGTGAGGACACCTTTGGGAGTTGCAGCCACCACTGGGAGCATGGCAAAGACCCGGATCCATGCGGGGTTTGTCCTCATCCTGGGGAGGGGGGTTCCCACTCGTGTCCATGCTTCCAGCTCCAGCCCAGTCCATTGTCCACAAGCCTGCAGGGGCTCCGTTGCCATCCACGTTGTCCCTCGGTCCGTCCTGAAGTTTATCCCAGTTGCTTAATGCCATAAACATGAAGTTCACAAATGGAATTATTATTAATAATATTTAGTTTAAGGGCTTTAATACAATAACAATTTTAAGTGTTAATGGGGGGGGGGGGCTGCGTTCATCCTGGCCGGGGGGGGACGGGACCGGGGCTAAGTGGCCGCGTCCCTCTGCTGTGACCTGACCATCTGAAAGATGTTCTGAAAGAGAAGGAAAAGGAGAAGGACATTAAGGAGAGTGGGGAAAATGGGATGGGGGCACCCAATACAATGGGGGGTTGGTTGGGGGGCATGGTTCTGCATGGCCCCAGCACTGATGTGATGCTCACCCAGTGCATCCCGAGCTCTAATTCCCCACTGCATCATCCCAAGCTTCTGGCCCATCACTGGGGGGGCAGGAGGGGAGAGGATCTGCCCTTCCCCATGCGCTGGGCTCCAATGGGGAAAGGCAGGTCTAAGAGGAGCAGAGGGGATTTAGGTGCCCATTCCTCAATGGGGATGTGCCATGGCACTGACCAAGGGGCAGGGGTTGGGAAGGGGGGCCCAAGCTGGGATGATTCCATTGCCCTTCCTCTTGGGAAGCCCCGGAGCCGAGGGGTCAGGGGGATCCAGCAGCAGATCCCAGCTCCTCCAAGGGAAAGCGGCTCAGCCTGAGCTGGAGCCTAAAGGAGGGCAGGAAGGAGGCCAGGAGCCGCGCTGGGAATCAGCTGGATCCCCCCCAGCAAGGCCCATTCCCTCCCAGCTCCCTCCCAGCTCCAGGAGCATCCCCCTCCAGAGAAGGGCCAGAAGCTGCGAATAACCCAGATTCCACTCACAAGAGCCAAGCAAAAGGAGGACGGAGCCAGGCCGGGGGTCACTGGTGCCTGCCCCCCCCCCCCTCCCCACCATGGCACAGCTTCACCAGCATCCCCAACCAGAGCCTGTTCCCTGCACAAAGCCAGCGCCAGCCCCAAGGGGACCACGAGGGTCCCCCCCATGAGCCAGGGGTTATGTCTCAGCCATCGCTATGAGCAGCATGTGCAGCTTGGGAGGCGAGGCAGCAGCTCAGAGCGCTAAAGAGACCCGGAACGCAGCTGCCAGAGTCCATCAGTCTCTTTATTTTACACTGGGGAGAGGAAATTACCAAGTGACAGGGCAGAAATAGCCCTGACCTGGAAAGAACCTGGGAAGAGCGGCTGGAAACAGCACCGGGGGGGGGCGCAGGGTGCCCCCAGGGCAGGTTTGGGGGTGATGACCCAGAGCAGAGCCCCGGGGACACCTCCACGAGCTGCAGCGAGAGGAATCAATTGCTCAGATGTGTGTAAATTGAATGGGAGAAAGGAATCTGTTTCCTTGTGGGGAAGTGATGGGAGGTGGAGGAGGGAGGAACAACTGAGTTCAGAGGGGAGGGAAAGCTCCAGACCCCCAGCTCAGCCCAGGGGCTCACCCCGAGTACACTGGGGAGCAGAAGCACTCTGTAAGGCAAACTGCAGCTCATCCCTCTTAGCATCCCCAGCCTTTGTGGAGGCGACATCAAACACGTGCTGCGTGCAGGGAGACACAGAGCACGGGCAGGGCTGCACACAAAGGTGTCCCCCCCCCATCAGGGATGTGGGGTTCACCCCACAGCAGCCACAGGATCTGTCTGGCAGAGGATCCCGCACCTTCCAAAGGGCTTCCCACACGGGTGACTGCAGCTTTCTGCTCTGGGGGCCACCACGGCACCTCCAGCCATGGCCTGAGTTCAAGCTGAAGCTGGAGCAGGGCACTCGGGCAGCCCCAGGGCACCACAGCAGCCCCTAAAGATCCTTGCCCCACCGCTGGGGACCAAGAGCAAAGCCACAGCCGCCAGGACCGAGGCCCTGGTCCTTGAACACAAGTACAGAGCCAAAGCGTTTGTCCCTTCCACACTGTGCCCTTCCCTCCCCTCCACCATCCACTGCAGCCCAGTGCTGGGGCACCCAAAGGTGGGCAGAGCCCAGCAGATGGGAGGGATGCAAGCAGGTCTGTAAGCTCAGAGCCATCTCCCTGCCACAAGCAGCACTGGCTACGTTACCCTGTGGGTTCCCTGCAAGGAGGAGCCCCTGTGGGAGGATGCTAAGAGGAGCTGGGTCCTGTCCACATCTACACTAAGAGGAGCTGGGGCAGAGAAGAGGATCACTACGTCTGCAGAGAGCGGCCAGGCTGGCTCAGAGAGCAGAGGTGCTGTTTGCTTTCAGCCCAATTACCTTGCTGCACATATTGTCTTTACTGCAGTTCCTGTTATCCTTGTCTGCTGCCTCCTCCTCCACCTTGACAGGGAGAAATAAAACGGGGATAAATGAAAAAGCAGAGCTGGGAGGGGGGGGGCCGGGAGGAGATGGGGCAGCCCATGCTGGCAACAAGAACAGGGGTGGGAGGCCAACAAGAGAGTAGAGGCTGGAAGTGGGTGGGTTCTGGGAGCAGGTTTGATGGGAGGAGGCTGAGCAGGCACCTCAGATTCGGATCCTCGCTGTTCCTCCCAGCAGCTTTGTGCTGGAGGCTCTCACAACCCTTCCTCAATAACTCAGCAACCTGCAGAGTCCCTCTGGAGGAGAGGTTTTGCTGTGGATGCTCAGGAGCCAGAGCCTGGGAGCTGCCACCCTGGGCAGTCACAGCTCCATGAGGCTCCCAGCACCGGGAAGCACCCTCCACCTACAGAGCCCTGGCCTGTGAGAGCAGCCGGGTACCCCCGAGACCTGGAGCACTGCTCCAAGCTCCCAGTCCTCCCTGGAAAGCTGCTGGCAAGGACCAGCCACAAATGCTTGCATCACAAAGCCTCCTGTAAAAGGTGAAGCCGTTCCCTTGCAGTGACGGGTTCTTACCTCCTTCCTCCACTTCAGCTCGCAGAAAACCCGTTCGAAGCACTCGTGCATGTAGTTGAACTGCAAAGGGAAAACGGGAACATCTCAGAGCCGGAGCAGCCGCAGCCGGAGCCCGGCTACGGGCTCCTCCTGGTGGCCACCGGCCCCAGCGCCAGCTCCCGCCCCAGGGCTGGAGCACAGGAGCTCCTATGGCTTCTAATGGGGTGGGAGGAAACAAGCAGGCTCTGGGCTTCAGCTCTGCAAAGCACAGCGGTACTCACATAGGGGGTGAAGATTTTAACCCATCGGGGTTTCTTCTCTCCTCGTGCGTATTCAAAGCAAAAGGCCATTCCCTCCTCGTCCGTGTCCCACCGCTGCATCTCGTCCCATTCGAACGCTATTACCTGGTTCTGAAGGACAATGAAGCAAGGTGAGGCCAGAGCCCTCTCAGGAAGGGGAGGTTTAGGACAGATGGGACAATGGATGCCCCATGCAGCCTTGCAGGAGCTGAGGAAGCAGCTGTGGCACCCAGAGAGCAGCCAAACCAACCCCTGCTCTCAGACCCACTGCCAGGACCCCTCCGGAGGCTGCTCAGCACCAGAGCCCCGGGGACACGGTGCTGGTGGCACCAAAGCCTCACCTCCAGCTGCCCCTCCTCGGTGCAGGCGTGGAGTTTAAAGTGCTTGATGCTGATGGCTGTGATGACGTGGCCCTTCCGCCGGGAGTCACAGGAGCAGTGGGGGAAGATGATCTCGTTGTAGCCCTCACACGTCCTTAACAGGTTTAAATACTGCAGAGGGAAAGAGCAGGGGTTAGATCCTGAGCCCTGCACCCTCCTTGATCCTCACCTCGGGAACCCTAGGCTTTGCCCCAGCCCAGGGAGCATGCATCCCTTCCATGGGACTCTTTCCATGGGGGTGTTTGTGTGTGTATGCTGGGATAGACCCTTCCCAAAGATTCACATCCATCGTTGGTCATGAGAAATCTATTGGGATGAGCAGAGACCAAAGAGCCATGAGACAAGCCACAGGAAGAAGCATCTATTTACTGATCCTTATCGTTAGTTAATAATTCATTGCCTTGGCTCAGCATTGCAGGTGACCCTTCCAGGGCCCACCCCAGGCCAGGCTCCCAGCAGGGACAGGGCCTGAGGAGGGATCCAACCCAAGAGCAGCCAGGCTGGGGCAGGGGATCCCCCTTGGAGAGCACAGGCGGGTGCAGCGAGTCAGGGAAAGGTCAGTTGGGAGCAGCAGCCCTGAGCAACCCAGGAAGTTATTTCCAAGGCAGATTGTTGGGCTGTTTGATCTCAGAGCCAAGCCTGTCTGGCCAAGGAGCTCAGGGCAGTGATAAGAGGCAGAACCCCCCTGACCAGTCAGTGAGCGAAGCTACAGCACCAAAGGGGCAGCAACTCGTGTTCCAAGTGGGCTGGCACCCACCCCTCCTTGGCTACCCAGCACCTCAGAGCCAGTCTGATGCAGAAAGAGACCTTCAGCTCTCAACTGCTGTCTCTGAAGGGCTGCACGTGAAGGATTATTTTTCCTTTCCTGTGTCAGTGACATTAGGGCTGCCTTTTTAGTTAACTGACTTTTACAGTTGACATGTGATAGGACACGGGGTAACGGGTTAAAACTGAAACAGGGGAAGTTTAGGTTGGATATAGAGGAAATTCTTTCCTGTGAGGGTGCTGAGGCACTGGAATGGGTGCCCAGGGAGGTTGTGAATGCTCCATCCCTGGCAGTGTTCAGGGCCAGGTTGGACAAGGCCTTGGGTAATATGGTTTAGTGTGAGGTGTCCCTGCCCATGGCAGGGGGTTGGAACTGGATGATCTTAAGGTCCTTTCCAACCCTAACTATTCTATGATTCTATGATTGCCACACCGTGCTCAGCACCTCGTCCTTCAACAGGCAACCCACGAGGTTTTATCACTGCCTTCTTTGGAGCCGAGTCAATGGGGGATCTTGCCAAGGACAAGCTGCTGCTCAAACGTGCCAGGCACAAGGGGTGGGTTTGGTTCATGCAGCCACGGACCCTCAGGCAGGTCCCAGCCCTCTCCTGGCATTCCTGCCTGTGCTCGCTGCCAGCACCTCCTGTGCTGGGCCCACACCCCCAGCTCTCCCAGCTCCTGCTTTCCAGGAAAGGCTGCGTGCATAGAATGGGTGGGAAGGGACCTTGAAGCTCTTCCAGCTCCAACCCATGCCATGGGCAGGGACCCCTTCCACTGGAGCAGCTTGCTCCAAGCCCCTGTGTCCAACCTGGCCTCGAGCACTGCCAGGGATGGGGCAGCCACAGCTTCTCTGGGCACCCTGTGCCAGCGCCTCCATTCCAGACACAGCATCGCCAACAGGAAGAAAGCAAACAGGACAGGTAGGACAACTCACCATGACCATCTTCCTCTGCTCACACAGCTTCTGTAACTGGTAGGAGTTCTCCTCTGCTTTGATGTAGCCTTTCTTGACATCATCAACAGCCTGAACAGAACAAGGGAAAGGAAACCCTGGAGGTCAGACTCCTGAGTCACACCATTCTGCTTTCCCTGGCTGGCCCTGAGGCTGCTCTGAACCCAAATCCACAGCCCCAGAAGGTGACCAAAGTCCCTGGAGAGGCAGAGGGATGGAGAGGCTCACAGAGGTGATTCTCTGCATTGCTGCCTCCTGCCATGAGCCTCTGCCTGCCCTGAGGAGCACAGAGATGCTTAAGCATCTGGGCAGGCTTTGGAAGAACGTCCCCTGGCACCAGAGGATGGGTCTGGAAATGGTGGTACCTGGAATCCAGTGTCTGCCTTCAGGGATAGGCAAGGATAGGCTGGTACAACCCTTCCACTGCAGCTGGCTCCAGCAGAGCAGAGCTGGCTTCTACCCACTGTGCTGCTGGAGCCTTGGCATGAAAACCAGGCTTTTCCTTCAGGCTGGAGCAGGTACACAACCACTTCCCCTCGCTCCTCAGCTGCACACCCCAGCAAGGGCTCCTGCCCCTGGCACCAAGCAGCCTGTACAGCTGCCAGCCAGCAACGAGCCAGCCCAGGAGATCCAAGAATTTGACAGCTACTATTTTTATTTCACTTTGTAGCAGGGGCTGGTACAGGCTCAGCTCAGACAGCGCTGGGACAAGGGGTTTGGTGGCTGAGGGAGAGCAGGGTTCATCTTACCGAATCCTTTAGCTCTTGGAAGGCCACTTCTCCCAATGAGAGCAGCAGAGTCCTGCCTCCCATGTAACTGTGCATGGCCACAAGCTCACCACAGCCCTGCCAAGTCACCCAAGCAGGACTGGCCCTCCGTGTCATGCTCTGTGCCCAGTACACCAAAGGACAGTGGTGCCTGGAGTAGTCCTGAGAGTTGGGCACTTGTGGTGGACTTGGCAGCGTTGTGTTAATGGGTGGACACCATGGTCTTTTGCAACCTAAATATTCCTATGACTCGAATGAGAGCTCCTCACCTGATGGAAGAAGTAGGTGACTGCCAGGTCGTTGTCGTTGAGGAGAACCTCCTCCTCTGTAGTGAAGAGCCATTTCCGGATGGTCAGGCACGTCCCCGGCACCGCCGAGGTGTAGTTCTGCACGTACAGTTTGTGGGGGAATTCATTGGGCGCCAGTTTGCGCACTGGAAAAAGCAGAGGACAGGTTAAGGGCACTGCTGGCAGCCCCAGGAGCCAGCTCTGCCCCAAGGCTCTTTCTTACCCGCCCTCATCACATCCAGCTTTGCCCCAACACCCGCTTCCACAGCAGCAGACACTGAACCCCACCGGTCCTCTGCTATCACCTCTGTTGCGTGAGCTGAGCTCCTCTGCCTGCTGGGATCGCAGTGCAGCTCTGGAGCATCAGCACAACAGCCCAGCTCCATCCCTGTGGTGCACACGGAGGTCCTGCCTAAGCCTGAGCATCACAGTGGCCCTGGACCTATGCACTGGCCTCGCAGTGTGAGGGACTGGAGAAGGTCCCATCCTGGCAGAGCCTGGATAAACCCTGCTGCATTGCTGAGCCAAGCTGCAGCCCCTGTTCAAACCTGCATTACCCAGCTGTGATGGACAAGAGGTGAGTGCCAGGGCACCACCTTCACCAGGCAGGGACATGGCCATTATGGTACTGCAGATGGAGCTTATGGTTTCCAGTGAGTGCATCCAGACAGGAATAAACGTGGATGTTCACAGCAAGTGTCCAGAAAGCACATGCCATAAAGGTGAACCTGGGTTCCCTTGTAGGAATGAGCAATTCATAGCTCCAGTTGGAGTCTGGCACCATAAAAGCTTCCTCAGGGACTGTGCCAGGTATTCCCACTCCAGGCTCCCCAGCAGCCCTGCTTGGCCTCCACAACCCCAAACCACGTTGACCCTTCAGCCCTGGACTCCTCTCCCCATGCCCACGTCCTACTCTGACCCACCAGCACCCCGTGACCCTCGCAGAGTGATGCAGACCCAGTGGCAGCTCTGTGATGCCAATGGTTTTGCAGGAGCCTGGTGAGCTCGGCTGCCCTGGGGTCAGCCTCTGCACGCAAACCCAGCCTGTTCTGCAGGATGAGTCAGTTGAGGAGGGCTTTAAGGAGCTAAAAATTGCCCTGGCTCTTCAGCCAGAACCTTGTGAGCGTGAGGAAGAGCCCCAGGAATCTCTTCCTACAAGGCACAGTTTGCTGTAACAACAGGATGAGTTTGAGGCACACAGAGATGACAAGCCAGAAGTGAAGTTACCAGCTGGGAATGAGAAACACTTGGCTTAAAACCCAGCACAGGGGAGAAAGAATTAGACACAAACCAACCACTACACCCATTCTGTGGTGTGACCACGACGTCTTGGCCTCTCTACAGCTTCGGTGAATGCAAGTGGGTGAAACCAGAGGCTGCTGTGGCCAGGAATCTGAACCAGAAGACCCCAGCATGTGCTGGGCTGAGGGATGGCAATTACTTAAGTGCCAAAACGATCGCCTGGAATCCCACAGCCAAGCCTCAAATACCATCAGGATTTAACCACGGAAGGAGAGATGAGCAGCTGAGATCAGGGCTCCTGGTTGTGTGAGTAGAGGTGAGGCCTAACAGAGTGCTGGCACTGCAGAGCTTTCCCCTCCCTCAGTGGCTCGTCAGCACTGTGGGGATTAGGAGACTCACCGAAGGAGTGATTGATCACTTCAAACAAGGCAAAGTAGTTTGCAGTAATACTGTCCATCCCAACCTTGGCAGCCACAGCCTGCAGGGTAAAGGGACAGGAAAACGGGGTCAGCAAAAGAGGAGCCTGCTCCAGGGCACAGTCAGCTTCATACATGTTATTCCCAAGTATTCCCTAACCCAAGGCATTAGTGCAGTGCTGACTGAGGTCAGTTCTTCGTTTTCCACTTAAAGTACTGGCCTCCAGCCGCTTGCAAACCCATTAACGTGACACTACCCTTAACATCCAACTTGCTGTCCCCAGAGACCCACGTGTGGCTGACACACTCCAGCAGTGCTCAGAGCCACCCACCAGCTCTGAGATCCTATCAGTGAAAACCAACTCAGTGCTCTGGCCGAGCTGCCAGTGGAAACACTGCTTCAGTATGGCCTAAGGTGAGAGTTTTCCATTGTCCTCATCTTCCCTGTACAGCAAAGCAGCATCACTTGTGCCCAGTGGCACTGGAGAGGGACAGAGAGAAGCAGGAAGGTGCCCAGTTAATGTCTGAATTGTCTGCCTTGACTGGAAGGTGAACACAAGGGGCTCACCTGGTACACCTGGTCTGTCGTGCTGTTCTTCTTGACTCGCACTGTCACGGCTGTGATGTCTGGTAACGCCACCCGGAGCTCCACATCTGAGACACCGTTGTAGTTCTGAGGGAGGGAGAAACCAGCATCACACCCCCTGAGCTCCAGAGACCATTGACTGCCTCATTAACATCCAACCCCCAGCTGCTCTGCTGGAATCCCATTCCAGCCTGCACCAGAGGAACTGGGACAGGAGGAAGAGGTGAGCTCTGCTCCCATCAGGAAGCTGAGCCAACTGCTCCAGACCACGATGGGCTCAAGTTTTCCATGCAGGGGACGTGGCAGCTCCATGCACCCCGGAAGGGTTGGAAAGAGAACAACAGCTGAAGGGCAAACAGCAACTCACTGCTGCTGCCTGCAAGTCACACAGACTGTGCTCAGAGCGCCCGTTGCTGCTGGACAAAGGCTGATGAATGCCAACAGCTCCCTAATGTGAAGCTCCCTGGGCTGCCATCGGCAGGAAACCAGCAGGGAAGTCACCAAATACAGGTTGGTTTTGCAGGGTCTCCCCTTGCCAAAGGCAGGGCACGGACAAAGGCCATGGGGCTGCCTCTATCCAGCTTTCCCAAGCGCTCTCAGCCTCTGTAACAGAGGTGAAGGCAGAGCTTTGGTGCCTCCATCCCTACCTCGTCCGACTCCGACAGGAACTCCTGCATGATGTCGCTCTCCCCAATGACACGTATGGAACACACTGCAGGACAGAGAGCACAGCTCAGTGGGGAGCCATGGGGATGGGGGGCCTTCCCCTCCCAGCACTGACCCAAAGGTGCCATGGAAATAACACCGGGTATTTCCAGCCCCAAAAACCTTCTCAGAACAGAACGCTGTGTGCTGTGGGTGGAAGGCACCGCACAGGTATTGCTACCCTGCGGCAAGTCTCACCTCCCTCTCACCACTTCATCCATGGAATCCAATCCAGCTACAAATGAGCTCCTTCCCCCTCCCAGGTGTTTGGGATGCTCCGGGCCCCCATGGCGGATCCCCCTGAGGGTTCATACCTTTCTCCAGGTACTCCTCCAGGCCTCGCCGCCGCGCATCCAGCTGCTGCTCCGACAGGGAGAAGGGCCACTTGCCCGGGAGGCGCGGGAAGGTGAAGTTGGCGAATTCCCGTTTCAGGTTCTGGTGCAGGATGGCGAATTCCCGGTACCGCTTGGAGCAGAGCTGCCGGCCCGCCATGTAAACGTTGTACACCTGCAGCACGACAGGAGCTTGCCACTCAATGGCCTGTTCCCAGTCCCTGCCCATCCCATTGACTGAGCACAGCTCCCGGCTCTGGAAAGATGAACAGAGCACACCCAGCAGAGGGAAAACCCGCTGTGGCCATGGGGAGGGCTGTGCTCCTAACAACAAGCAGTTATCTGCGGGATAATGCTGCTCTTGTGGCAGCCTCCTGGCTCTGCCAGTCGCTGCCTGAAGCTTGGGGCCGGCTGGGGCTCTGCTGTCCCTCACCACACTCCTGGTGCTGGCGACACATGAGCACCACAGAGCCAGGCTGAGCAAGGAGCCAAGCAAGGCCAGGAGGACCGAGAGGTTAAGTACACCCCATATGCTGCACAAAGACACAGTGCTGAGGATGAGTGTCTCTGCCCAACCTGGTTTGGGTCCCTCTCCAGCCACAGCCATTCCCCATGAGCCAGAACCAAGCTCAAGCCTGAAGGATGCACCCGTGCCAGCTCCCATTACCCAGGAAGTGCCAGCCTCAACAGCAGAAGAGGCAGGGAACCCAAAGGAAAAAGACTCTTCACAGCCATTTCCCCCAACATTCCCTAAAGGGAAAAGTGCTGGAAATGGGAAGCTGTGCTTCAGGACATCTGTTCCCTTTGCTTGTACATCTACCACAGATGTCCTTCGCACTTGGTGTAAAACAGGAGACACAGATACAAAAGCTTATACGAGCAAAATAACAACTTCTTCCTACATAATCTTCATGGGAGATGAGGCTACTCCAGACACGTTAATCAGAAGCCTCTCAGGGCTTGGTTATCCCTTTGCAGCTCAGTGAGGGCAGGCAGTGTAACTGAAGGTGCCTCCATCCTGAAGGCAAACAGAGCACTGCCACCGAGTGTCCCTCCCAGCACAGAGCAGACACATCCCAGCTCCAGGCCACTCCACCCAAGCTCACACTGACCACAAACTTCTCTCCGTTCTGCTCCACGTGCTTGTAGGTGGGGATGGAGATGGGCACGGCCTGCTTCTCCGTGTAGTCATAGAAGGACTGGCCCAAGGAGTCGTCGCTGGGATCCAGGTTATCGGCCTCGTGGGGAGGCACCGAGAGCACCGTCAGGATTAACTCCTTCTCGCCCGCGCGGATCAGGTCCACCACTTGCTTGTGTGTGGCTCCTTCGACGTTCACCCCATTCCTGTAAGGGGGAAAGAAAGCAAGCCATGAGCAAGGCCGAGGTGATGGCAGAGCCTTCCAACCAGCCAGGATCAGCCCAGAGATCCCCAGAGCTGAGGATGCCTTAGAGACGATGCCTCCGGTCTCAACAGCTCCACTTCCACGCTGGTCTGAACTTCCCTGCTTTCCCCTTCTGATGCCTACAGACCCAGCTCACGCTTCTCTGACAGGTTCACAATCACCCTTGACTGGTGATTGCAGGTTTGACCATTCCTCAATGGAGGAAGCAGGAAAGCAAGACCCTTCCTCAGGGGAAGGGAGCACAGAGCTGAAGGATAAAACACTGTAGGAACACCTCCTGCCCTGCCAAGGCAAAGCCACCTCCTGATCCTCCACAGCTCCGAAGCCAACCGGGATTTCCCTAAACCCGAACTGAAGATTCCAGGTGAATGAGGATGACAAAGGAGACAGAGAGGCTTTGAGAGCAAAAGGAAGTGATTTCGGGAGCTGGCGCTCCCATCCACCAGGATACAGCATGCAGGCACAGCTACAGAGGAGATTCAGAGCATCCCTGAGGAGGACTTGGGGGTGTTGGTTGTTGAGAAACTGAACATGAGCAGGGTTCAGTGTGCGCTTGCAGCCCAGAAACCAACCGTATCCTGGGCTGCAGCAAAAGGAGCGTGGCCAGCAGGTCGAAGGAGGTGATCCTGCCCCTTTATTCTGCTCTGGTGAGACCTCACCTGGAGCACTGTGTGCAGTTCTGGTGTCCTCAACATCAAAAGGACATGGAACTGTTGGAACCAGTCCAGAGGAGGCCACGAGGATGCTCAGGGGCTGGAGCAGCTCCTGTATGGAGCCAGGCTGAGAAAGTTGGGGCTGTTCAGCCTGGAGAAGAGAAGCTGCGTGGAGACCTCAGAGCAGCTTCCAGTGTCTGAAGGGGGCCTATAGGGATGCTGGGGAGGGACTCTTCATTAGGGACTGCAGTGACAGGACAAGGGGTAACGGGTTCAAACTGAAACAGGGGAAGTTTAGATTGGATCTAAGGAGGAAATTCTTTCCTGTGAGGGTGCTGAGGCACTGGAATGGGTGCCCAGGGAAGCTGTGAATGCACCCACTCTGATCCCCACTGCTCCAACTGCAGATGGGATCTGCCACAGCAGCCCCATGGCCCCTCCGCTCGCAGGTGCATGGGGCAGGAGCACTTGTACCTTTGCAGTGAGGTCACCATAGCAACTCAGATATCCCACAAGGAAAGGGAACGAGAATCATCCACACAGGAGCCAGGAGCAGCAGGCAAGGAGAGGGGAGCGCTGTTTGTGTGGGATCCAAGAGCCAAATCACCCCCCCCAAGACAGCAGGACATTGGGGTGCTTTGCTCCTCAAGCTTCTGCCTCCACTTTGAGTTGGAGAAATGATGCAGGCGTTACCTTCACCCTTCCAGGGGACACACACACTCCCAGGAGAGCGATGCTGAGCTGCTGGGTCTCTCTGTACCGCACAGAAAGGATGCTCAGATACAACAGCAGCAGAGGACCAGGTCCAATCCTTCCCTCCATAAACAAGGTCCCACAGACAGCACCCACATCTCTTCTGTGTAGAACAGGAGGTAAAGGAGAACTCTGCAAACTGCTTCAGGATGGAGACCACAGCCAGGCACATGCAGGCCTGCATGGCTTCAACAGCACTTGAAGAGCAGCTTCAAGCTCCCTTCTCTTGGCTGTCCATCACCTAACATGGAGATGGTTACACCAGGAGCACAAGGTTCCATCACCTTCCCCTGCAGTCTCCTTCCCTTGGCACTTGGCTTCCTCCTGGCCTCGCTGGGACAGGAGCTGCTTGCAGGAGAAGCTCCAAAAGACCCTGGTGAGGGGCAGAGGAGCCTGGAGTCTGCTCAGTGTGATGAGGTTCAAAGCATCTTTGAGATGGGTTCCCTAGACTCCCCCATACCTCCTCCAGCACGGTGCAGGGAACGTCTCATCCCCTGTGTGCTCGAAGCCCTGGACACCTATTGAGTGCTCTCAGCAGGGATAGGGACTGCTGGCAAACACCAGGACACCCCCAGGCTGAAGCACGTGCTCCACACAGCACAATTCCCCATCATGGCAACGCTAATGAGCAACATCCCCAAGACACAGGGAAGAACATTTCACTTCTCCAATTTGTGCACCGAATGACTCATTTTCTGCAAAGACTTCTTAAAATCTCCCAACTCTCTGTCTGTCAAGAGATGACAAGGAAATTTACTGCAAGAAAGCCTGCAATAAGCTTCCTGGAGATTAACACCATGGCCTATCTCTGTGCTTGGCTCAAAGCACGCACCCAGCAGACAAAGAGTCCAAGGAAAAACACCCTAGGAACTACTGAAGTCATGGGCAAGGCTTTGCTTTTGAGCAGGCTCCTCCAGCCACCCCATGCTACCGGGGCCACCATGGCAAAGCACAGGTTGGAGCCCAGCCTGCAGCCAAGGCAGGACCAGCAAAGGAGGAAGAGACCCAGCACCAAGGGCACCCTCGAAGGTCATGGGCACAAACCTTCCCCAACCCAAACCCTGCCACAGCCACAGCAGCATCTCCCCATCTCTCATCACCCCAGGCAGTGAAGCAGCCTTCCTCCTTTACAGCAAAGCATCTGCACCCTGCCCACTACCATTCCAGGTTAAAGAACCAAAGGAAGACACGAGTGTAGCTCCAGCAACCTCTCCTGGTTCTCAGCCAGAGGAAGGGCTCCATCCTCCAGCCCCATTTGCACAGAAGCCTCTTGGAATGTGTTTGGGTGTTTTAAGGTGCAGTTTTACATGCACGGCTCTGGCAAACAGCAAGAGAGCTGCTCACCCCATCAATGATCACCTCTGAAAGAAGACAAAAAGAAAGAATGCAAAAATTAGTATTTAAGGTTTCCCAAGGTGAAACCTTTAATACTACTGAGGAGCAACCAAGGACTGCCCGGGTGGGTGGAAAGCTGTTAGTCCTGCTGAAAAAGGACACTTCAGAAGCCAAATCTGTATCAAATCCACCCTGGAAACTCCGAAGCAGTTAAATGCAATCAGCTTCTACACCAGCAATAGGAGACATGATCTAGGTCAAGGTCTCTTTGGGTTTTCCTTCCCTGAGCCACTTGAGACAACCAGCAATGGTGAGGGCAAGCCCTGTGCCAGCAGGAAGCTGGACTCGATGCATAACCTGCCAACCACCACGCAAGCAATGACTTTTCCCTGTTCCTTTTGCAGACCCAGGCTCTCCTCTGGCTCAGTTCAACCAAGCTCCAGCCTGTGACAGGAGCTCTGGTTGCCCACAGAGCTCTGAGGAACATCAGTGAGCCCTCAGGGATGCTGCACACCACACACTGCACACCACTGGCATGAGCCGCTGCTCCAGTGATGCCAGGGAAGAGCCTGCAGGGTCTCAGGCTCCAGCTCATCCCAGTCCTGCAGTGTGGATGTCCACAAAGCTTCTCCACGGTGTTTCGGTCTGGAGCTGGCATTCTGCAGGCACAGGTTTGAATCCCAGTAAAGGGAATCTCTCCTTGTATTTCATCTGTCGCTGCTTCCTCAGACTGATGGATAAGGGAAACGGGGATACAAGAAAAGCCACCCCAAAGCACGAGGCACCAACATCCAGTACATCCCCATCGGGATCCATCTGACCATTTCCTATGGGCACTGGTCCCTGCTTGCTTCAATGCCTTGAGCTGACCAAAGCAGGAGCAGAGCCCACGGAAATGGGTTTAAACTCCTCCAGCTTCAGCCACCGCTCCCGTTCCTCGACACACACAGGATTCCATTGAACCATGCTGCAGAAGTTAAAGCAGGGCAGATAAAAAGGCTCCTGCCTTTATCTAATTGTGGCTTTAATGGAAAACCCAGCACACAAAGGTTCCTCATTTACCCACTGCTGGTATCTCACAAGAAAGAGACGACAGAGCTGCAGTGCTTCGCTCGAGCACAGCGAGCACTGGCTCAGAGGTGCCATCAGGAGACCCCAATTCTAATCTAGAGCCTTAACTGCAGCCCTGTTTGTTATGGGAGGGATGCTGACCCGTGGTAACGCTCCAAAAACATGCACAGGGAAGAAAAGACAGAGCTGGGGGGGAATTTGGGAATGCCACCGGGAAGATGGTGTGCTTAAGAGGTGGGAAGAGGACAGACACCCATCAGCTGGTGATTAGATGGATCCTTCCAGGCTTTTCCAAGGCAGAATCAGCTTTTTCTGTCCCAAGTCAATACATAAAATGAGACTTTAGACCAAGACAAGATAAAGAGTGCAATCTCCTGAGGATAATGCCTTTTCCCAGCCACTCCCCAGGAGGGACAGGGAGAAGCCGCCTGCAGTGGGGTTATTCCATCAGGACCCGTGTGAGGGGTACAGCCCTCCCCTGCAAACAGTGGGTGCTGCCACCACTTCAGCCATCTCTCTGGTTCACAATGATGAGGACCAACCCCCTGGTTGCCCCCGAGCCACTGGGATGGGAGCAGTGATGCTGAACCCATCCCTCCTGTATCCCTCTTGCTCCGGTGTTCCTGAGCCCAACAGGGCAAACGCAAGGAAGCTTTTCCTCCCTGTCAAGATTAGTGATGATTGTCATTCAGGGTGATAATCAAGAACGAAATTAGCTTTCATTGTGTGTCTCCAATGCCCTCAACACCCACAAACACACTACGAGCTAAGAAGATTAGAGGGCACACCACAGCTGCGCCGCAGAACCAGCCTGCAAAGGGAAGAGGCCTGAGCTGGGCGCAAGGGACGGGACCGTGATGCAGTGAAGGGTGGCAAGAAGGGACTTTGTGGTAGGCACAGGACTAAATAAATCCTTCAGGCCACACCTGGAGTGTCCTCTGGGTTGGGATGAGGACTGGGAGGAGGGATGTGCAGAGGAAACCATGCTCCCATTCCTGCAGCCAGAGGGGTCCATGTCCTGCACCACACATGTCCAAAGCAAGCTGGGGAAGAGATGCAGGATGAGAGACCCCATGGACACATCCCTATGTGCTAACCACCGCATCACTCTGCAGCAGCACCCTCAGGAATTCCATCGAGGAACTGCAATGGAACAATCCCCGTTCTCAGGCTCCTGCTCCAAAACCCTCTCTCCCATACCATGCTGCTGGGAGCTGCAACCAAGACCCTGCTTGGAAACCCAGAGAACACCCAACTGCACCCATGGGCACTCAGACCCAGCCCCAGAGCTGCAGAGGCACTGAGCAGGCACCGGCTCCCCCAAGAGCCCCATCACTGAGCTCCAGGCCTGCAACGTGGGACCACGGAACCGGGCACGGATGGAGCAGCACCGGGGCAGCAGCGGCCGCGCCGCCCCCACCATTGTGCACAGGGTGCATGGTGAGAGGAAGGGAAATCGAGGTTATTTTTGGCTCTTGGTTGATTGTTTTATGCTCCCAGCTCCCACTGGACCCAGGGAGAAGGAGCGCGCTCATGGCACACACGGGGCCTTCCCAGGCCCAAGCGTGGCCGCACTGGGCAGTGGTCCTCAGGCCCATCAGCACAGCCAGGTTATCCAAAGGCAGGGCTGGCATCGGGAATGCGCCGGAGCCAACCTGGCAGCAGGACAAGAGGCAATGGGCAAATGAAAAGCGACTTCTCCCATGAGATGAGAAGCTGCAGATAAAGCAAGAGGAAATCCCCCATCCTTCCATCACTGCGGCTCCCTGCAGCACAGGGGGAAGCCAGGGGTGCAGAGAGCAAGCACCCCTCATGCCCAGCATTAACCAGCATTATCCACAGGTATCCTCTTTCAAACACCAGGTTTGGCCACAGACTAAAGGTCAGGCTCAGCCAAGACGCCAGCAACCAGCCTCAAACCCCATCTCTGAGCAAGTGCTCCCCCAGAGCAGGCATGAGGGAGAACTCATGCAGCACATCCCAAGTGCTCCCCTGGTCAAGAACCACTGTTCCCTCAAGCAGATCCTCCAGATGCAGAACTCACCCCCTGAATGGTTCTTCTGCACACAGAGACCGGAGTGTGAGGCATTTGGGTCACACAGGAGAGCCCCATCCCAGTGCTGACCCCGACAGGGCACAGGCAGCCAGAACAGATCCTCTCTGGGCTCAAACACATGCTGTTGTCCTTCACACCCTGCAGCCTGCAAAGACTGGCAGCAAAGCATTCCTGCTGCTATGAAATCCCTGTAATTAATAAGTAATTGAACTTAACCAACTCAGCATGAAGTACAACCACGCAGGGATCAGGAGGCATCCGCAGCTCGGCAGGGGCAGAACCAGCCCCAAGAACCACAGGATGAAGGGGAACATCCTGAGGCCACGGAAGGGATTTAACCAGTGTCACTCCACAAACATGGCTCAAAGCTGAAGGGTTCCGGAGGGGAATATGGGTTTCAACACAACCAAAGCGTTCCCATGGAAAGGACAGTGCTGGACATCCCCAGGTCCCAGTGACCGAGAGGGATTAATCCCAAGCAGCCGGGTGCATCCGGAGCGTGCTCCCATCCCTGCTGCAGGCCACCAGCTCCAGCCAGCACCTCCCATAGGGTCCCTTGCCCACTCCAGGGGGGGTCTCAGCACAGGTTTGCCCCCTTGCACCCCTCTCTGGGAGGGCACCCCCAGCCCAGCACTAGGCTCTGACAGCCACAGGCTCTTCAACCCCTTCCTTCCAGCCCCCTCCCTTTCCCATCTCCGAACCTGCTTCCCCCTCCTTAGCAGGGATCTCTCTTGGGAACAGCTTCTCTCCAGCTCTGTGGTCCCCCCCCTCCATGCAAACTTCCCCCCATGGCCACCCCGTTCCCCAGACAGGGAGGCAGATCCATGGACACGACTCCTCCTGCTCTGCACCCCAAGGGATGCCCCCACAAACACAGGGCTGGGGAAGCTCTTCCAGGGATGAGGTGGTGACGGGGAGCCCAGATTCATGCTCCAAGAGAGGGGCTGTGACCTTCTGTCCCTGCACACACCCCACATAGGGGATCCCATTGCCCCCCCAGGCATGGAGGTGTTCCTCCGACCCCCTAAGGGCTCCCAATGAGAGCAACCCGGCTCAGCCCCCTATAAAGGCCTCCCTAAGCCCTCAGGGGAAGACACTGAGGCCAAGCCCCATCACTCAGTGACCACCAAAGCGCCTGGGCAGAACCCCCCCCCAAAGCCCCTGATGAAAGGGGAACAAACGAGCCCCCCAGCACCTGCTGAGGTCCAGACCCCCCCATAACTCCCCCCCGTCCCCAGCCTCGCTCCCCATTACAGCTCCCACACGGCCCCCTCCAAGCCCGCAGCGAGGCTCAGCCCCCTCAGGCTCCCCCCTCCATCCCCTCCCCAGCGAAGGGGGCGGCAGCGGGGGCGCGGCCCCCCCGTACTCACACCTCCAGGATGCGGTCCCCCTTGCGCACCCCGGCGCGGTCGGCAGCCCCGCCGCCCAGCACGGCGCTGACATGCTGCAGCGGGGCGTACAGCTCGCCGTTGATGCTCCGCAGCTGCCCGCCCTCGCTCACTTGACCGCGGACGTTGAAGCCGTAGCCGGACTCGGATTTGACGATGCGGACGACGCGGGGACCGCCGGGGCCCAACGGGGCCCCGTCCCCGCCGCTGTCCCGGGGCGGCGCCGCCGAGCGCGGCCGCGCTTCGCCCTCCTCGTCCGCCATCTTGGCGAGCAGCGCCCGGCCGGGCCGTCACGCGACCGCCGCCGTGCCGGCCACCGTACGGCACCGCCCCCCACCCCTCCCGCAGGGGATGACGGGAAGTGTAGTTCAGAGACCCACCGCCTCCTCTCGCGGGGGATGCTGGGAACTGTAGTCCGGCGCGGGGGCTCATGGGAGTTGTCGTGCTGCCGCCATGGCAACGGCGCGGCGGGGGCAGCCCAGCACCGAGGCACGGACGAGGCCCCGTTTGCGCTTGGGCCCAGAAACCAACCGTACCTGAGCTGCATCGAAAGGAGCGTGAGCAGCAGTCATGGAGGTGATCCTGCCCCTCTGCTCTGCTCTGGTGAGACCTCACCTGGAGCATTGTGTGCAGTTCTGGGGTCCTCAACATCAAAAGGACATGGATCTGTTGGAACAAGTCCAGAGGAGGCCACGAGGATGCTCAGGGGCTGGAGCAGCTCCTGTATGGAGCCAGGCTGAGAAAGTTGGGGCTGTTCAGCCTGGAGAAGAGAAGCTGCGTGGAGACCTCAGAGCAGCTTCCAGTGTCTGAAGGGGGCCTATAGGGATGCTGGGGATGGACTCTTCATTAGGGACTGTAGTGATAGGACAAGGGGTAATGGGTTCAAACTGAAACAGGGGAAGTTTAGATTGGATCTAAGGAGGAAATTCTTTCCTGTGAGGGTGGTGAGGCACTGGAATGGGTTGCCCCGGGAGGTTGTGAATGCTCCATCCCTGGCAGTGTTCAGGGCCAGGTTGGACAGAGCCTTGGGTGCCCTGGTTCAGTGGGAGATGTCCCTGCCCATCTTCAGGTCCTTTCCAACCCAAACCATTCTATAGTTCTATGACCCCCATGCCCCCAGCATGGTTCCACTGCTCACATCCCTCCATCACCCACAGGCACCCACATTCCTACATCACCTCTTCCGTGCCTTCCCCAGGCACGCACAGGGCCTGTAACCCCGTGGAGCCGGTTGGTGCGCTGCAGCTCACACAGGGCCCAGGCGGTGCTGGCCCGCGCTCCCGGGCTGCTGTCACCACCGCGTTGGAAGACACCAATAATTTATTGAAATAAATACAGGTAAGAACCCAAGAGCCTCGGGGTTCAAACACTACCGCACGCCGGGTACATTTCCTCTACGCTCGTGGCAGAAGCATGGCGATACACTGAGGTTTTGGCACGTGAGCCTTTGCCAAGTCCGGAGCAGCCCGGGATGGGAGGTGGAGGCTCCCCGCTTGGCACACGTTGGGCGTTGCTGTAGGAAGGAGTCCGGTTTCAGGAGGATTTTGTTCTTCTTTCGTCAAGAGTGAATTTCGTTTTGCTCTAAACCAAACCAGGTTAAACCCCGAGTCCACGCTGGCCAAGCGGAGGCAGGGCTCTGCTCTGGCACAGCCCTTCAGAAGCAAAGGCTGCTCTCACAGAGCAACCCCGGCACCCCCAGGGCTGCCCAGGGCAAGCAGCCTGGATCCCCAGCCGAGAGCCACCTTCTCCACGCCAGGGCCGGCTGGTCCCAGCTCCAAACTGGCACCCGGGTGCCCTTGGGGCCAGCAGTGTGGATGCTCCGCAAACCTCCTTCCTCTGCCAGGGCCGCCCCGGCTGCGCCTGTCCTCGGCTGCCACAGTTCCCCGGGGCCACTCCGGGAGCACAGAGGACGGCAGACAAGCAGGGAATCCAGTCAACGATACAAGGGGAGAGTCGTCAGCTCGCACCGGCTCTCGACGCTCATGTTTCCACTACTCGAATGAGAGGCAGCGGCTTGGGGCCCGTCAGCCGTTTGCTGCAAGAGAGAAAGGGGCTGTTCAGCCAAGGGAACCTGGGGGGAAACTGGGCTTCCAGCAGAGCACGAAGCCCCACATGAGACACGGGCCTGCAGAGGAAGCTGCTGAGCAGCTGGGCTGGAGGGAACCTGCTCCCCACGTACCTGCTCACGTACTCGGACTTGGAGCGCGCCCGGGAGCTGTGCCCGCCCCGGCTCACCTGCTTCTCGATCAAGTGCTCGATGCGGTCGTGCATCTCCAGGTTCTGCAAGAGATGGAGCTGCTGTCAGTGACAGGGACCTGGAGCTGGGCGTGCTGCGGGCACTCACAAAGGGCAGGGATTGCTCCAGGATGGGCTCTTGCAATGGGGCGGCTCTTTCTTGAGGGCAGTGAAATGCAGCCCTGCATAAGGGCAGCTCCCTGGAGAGCATGGGATGAAACCCAGCAGCACGCAAGCTCTCGCACTGGATCTGGGCTCACCCCCCCGTTCCCATGCAGGAATCAGCCAAGTCACTGAGGAGGGAAGAACATGCCATACGTGCTGATGCAGGAGCCACTTTCCTCCAGAAAAGGAGAGGTTTGACACTGGTTATGATCCTAGAGGCTGCAACGCAACCCTAACGCCTGACATGTGCCCGCTCAGCTGCAGCTTTGGAAACAGGAGGGGTTTTGCCTCCAGATGATACTTGATGAGATTACTCTGGCCTCTGTTGGAGCTCAGAGCTGCTCCAGCAGCCCTGGCTGCACCGGGAACCATCACAGCAGCCTGGGAAGCAGCACAGGGCACGTTCCCCTCTGTGGAGCCAGCAATGGGTTCTGCTTGCCAGAGCAATGCTGGTCCATGAGAGGATGTGAGCTTGGAGCAGCCCCTGGGCACCAACCCCTCCGAGCCCTTCTCAGACGCACCTCAGCCTCCAAGTAAGCAACTCGCTCCTTGAGCTCCTGGATGACGGCGTCTTTGGCCTGAATCACCGTTTTGGAGTTCTGGAGCTGTAACAGACAAGGTCACAGTGGCTGAAAACCCAGAGAACCGTCTGCGAGGGAGGGCAGCTTGGAGGGCACCCTCCTTCCTCTTAACACCCACAACGTTTGCTCCAAGGTCTGCATAAAAACCAGTCCAAAAAAGCCTCCAATGAAGCCTGAGGATTAAGCCCCAGGTGAGGGAGCCTCCGCTCACGGAGTCTGGTTTAACTCTTGCAGCAGGGTGCATGGTGCTCCTGTTCCACTCCTCCTACCCCATCCCCAGCCCAGTGCCAGTCCCTTTGGTTTGCACAAGGGCCCCGCAAAGCAGCACCCTTCACTTTCAAGTGCCTTAAGAGATGATGACTTTTTCTCCCTCCCAAGCCCCCCCAGGCTCTCCCCATCCTCCTGCAGCTCGGCCCCTCGGACCTGCTCGATCATCTGCCGCACTTTGCGCTGCTGGCTCTTCAGCATGTCATCCAGGTGGTGGATCTTCTCCCGCAGCATGGCCACCTCCTTCTCCAGCTGCACTGACCTGCATGGGGGACAGGACAAGGGTCCAGGAGCTGTCAGGTGACTCCCAGAACAGGAGCAGCACCCACCCAGCTATGCCCAGAGCAGCTCTTCACCACCCAGCTCTCCTCTACGGGCTGGAAGCGTTTTGACTAGACAAGGTAAGGAGAGGCAGAGACAAAACCTATTCAAGCAGGAGCCACAGACTGCAGGGACACAGGAACATCAGGAAGAGTCAGGCCACAAACAAGGCCTTCCAGAAATAAGCCACTGCCAATTAGCCCCTGGAGCACCGGGATACCGGCTGAGCGGAACGCATCCGACAGCGCAGGGACGATCGGCTGCTCCGGAGGCTCCCCCAGCATCGCCCCAAGCACCCAACCCGCAGCGGGGCTGCAAGAGGCCCCTGGGCCGCGGCCGGAGCTGAGCTGCAGCTCGCTGGGAGCAAAGCAGCCCTGCAGGAGGCATTGGGGATTAGTCAGCGCTGGGAGCAGGGCGCTGTTTTGCAAGGCAGAGAGCAAGCACGCCCTGCGCAGGAATGTGCAGTCATGCCCCAGCGAGCTGACACCCCGACCCGGCGGCGTGGGCCGGCGCTGCACTTGGCAGCCGAGCCCCAGGCCAGGCCTCACCGGTCTTGTTGGGCGAGCTTGTCCCCCTCCACGCTCCGCAGCCGCGCCAGCTCTGCTTCGCCTTCTTTCATCTTCAGCAGCAAGGTCCTGTGCTCCTGCGGCGGAGCGAGAGGCTGAGACACACGCAGGGGACGAGGCAGCACGAGCCCCTCGGCTGCCGCTCGTTCCACGTTACATTGACATGAGACAGACAAGTGCAGCCACAGAGTGACCAGCAGCGGCTGTCCCACTCCTTCCTCCCCCAGGGTACAGGCAAGGCACCGTGCACCCTGCTGTCAGGCCAGGGAATGCAGCCCCAGATGGCTCTGTGCTCAAACTGCGCTGTTAGATTTACGACTTGAATAGGATTATGAGCAGACCACAGCTCAAATAAAACAATAATATAATCAAGGCTGGAGGTTGTGCTAATGCCCCCATGAGAAGAACCGGCGGCTGTCTAGACTGCGCTTGTCTCCAGGATACCTGGAAGAGTTTGCACAGACCAACCAGATCTTCTAGACCCAAGAAATGCAAGTGTAAATCAGCAAGAGCCCGTTCCCAGCCATTCCCAGCCGCTGGCTTTGCCCAACGCTGCCAGGTTAAACCTGTGAAGTCAAAGCCTCTGCATGGTGGGTACCCTGCAGGGGGGTGCTCTGGCTGAGCACTGCCAAACTCATCACCACCAGCAGCCCTTCCCATTCCTCCCCCCAGCAGAGCAGGGCCATGCGCTAATCCCACCAGCCCCACCATGGCTCCAGGGTCGGTACCTTCTCCATCCCTGCCAGCAGTCTCTGCAGCTCATCCACCTGCACCTCCTTCTCCACCACGCTCCTCTCCGCTCTCCGCAGGGCAGAGCTCGTCTGCTCCGCTTCCTCCTGGTACTGCGAGACCGTCCTCTGCAAGCAGCACGGAGACACCTTTAGCCTGGGCACCAGAGCCCTGTCCTGAGCCGCGGAGCCCTGGCACGCAGGTTAGGCTGAGGGCAGCCTGGTGTCCTTAGCAAAGAGCCCCACACGGCCCAGAGAGGAGAGCTTCAGAAAGCTCCCCAGCTTCAAAGCACTTCAAAGGAGTGAGCGCCGCAATAAAGGCTCCTCAGACACAGGAGGTTCACCCTCAGCCACATGCACGCTGGGGCCGGCTGCAGGCTCAAGGAACCAGCCTTGGCATCTCCATGAGAGGGGACGAGGGTGTCCCCATGGGTCCCACCACAGCCGAAGAGCAGGCTCAGCCCACAAGAGAGCATCTGGGCAGTGGTGGCACAATCAACAACTGCCAAACCCCATGCCAGGATCTCCATCCAGGCTCAGAGCCCGCAGCCAGCACCACAGCTGACCAAAGGTCCCAAAAATGCCACCGAATCACACAACTTCCTGCCCACTGGGACAGGCATCCTCAGGGCATGGGCAGCCATGCCTGCAGCAAAGGAAGCGGTCCCTGCTCAAACCCACTTCCCAGCGGATGCTGTCCCCCCTCCCGCTGCAAGAATCCCCCCAGGCTGGCCAGGACCAGTTTGGTCTGTGGGACAGGATGTGAGCTGGGATGTCACCGCTGCCACCAGCGCTCAGAGCCCTGGTGTGACACGCCAGGCCCAGCCCATCCGGGACATGAGCAGGCACTGGAAAACACACTGCTGGGGACCATTAATCACCAGGGCTGAGGGAGGGAAGCGAATGCAGCAGCTTCATCAGCACCAGGCAGGGGCTGAGGTGACCCACGTGATGGATCTGGTGCCTCCTCCACAGCAAACAGCCCCATAAGGGAAGAGGTTGAGCCCCAGGAGAGACCACAATGGCTGGAACCACAGGCTTGGCCCCCACTGGTGCCCACTCCCCACAAACTGCCCCCCTCCTGGACCAATGGCTATGGTGGGAAAGGCTCTGCTTTTTAACTGGGAAAGCAGTGTTTGCGTGTTCAGCCCCCCCAGGGGAGGCCGTTTGCTGGGGTCTGGCCAGGGCGGGTTTGAACCAAGGAACTCGTGTGTCCATGCAGCTCTTCATGCTTCCAGAAAGGGGGAAACCACCAAACCCAAGTAAAGCACAGCAGAGCAGTGTGCGGGCACCTCGAAGGCTTTCCTTTCCAACTGGTGGCGCTTCTCGGCCTCCTGCAGCTTGGTGAAGAGCCTCTTTGCCGTCTGCCGCATCTTCTCCACGTCCTCACCTGAGCAGTCGCCCTCCTCCTGCAGAGACAACAACAGGATGGGATGAGAGGTTGGGAGGTACCGGGGAGCCCTCCCTCCACCCTGCTGTGGGCAGCGCTGGTGGTGACAAAGCTTGGAACATCCCTTCTCAGCTTGAAGAAAGCCAAAAGGCGCCGCTGTCCTCACCTCCCACACATGAGGCAGCTTCCAGCCCTCAAGATAATGCGCACAGTATCCTTTGGTTGCCTTCCAAGCCCTGTTTGCAGGATGCCACCCTGATCCATGCTTGGGCAACCTGAAACCCCGCAACGTGAACCAGGTCCACGGCAACCCAGCCCAAAAGCCCAGCCCAGAGAACCTGGCACAGCGGGGAAAGACAAAGAGCTGGAGGGACATTTACCAAGATTCCCATCACCCTCCTGCTAAAAAGCTCTCGGGTACAGAGGTTTCAAACCCCATTATGCACATCATTGCCCTGCTAGAGCTGCTCTCCGTTGCTGATCTGACCCCAAGCAGCTGATCCTGTGCTGCGCAGCCCCAAAGTTACCCGCAAACATCAAACTAAAGCGACGTTTCTTCCCATAGCCCTGAGATCCACCCCTGCAGCTCCATACCTGCTCCCAGGAGTCAGCCTGCAGCCTCTCGGGGTACAGCCAGCTCCCGTTCTGCTCTTCCAGCACCACCTGCACGAGCAGAGGACAGATGGAGAGGGATGCACGGCCGGCTGGGCCCGCCGCGCGCAGCCGCATGCAGAGAGCTGGCTCTGGGCACCAAGGGGGGTCCTGCGAAGGAGCATGCAGCAGAGCTTGTGCCAGCCAACGCGTTCTGCTCACTGACTCCTCACTGGTGCTAGTGCAAGGGCTTGAGTTTTGCCTGTGAACGCTGCCAACGCGGCTCCCGTTCACCGTGATCTTTAAGGCCCCTTCTATCACGGTCCGGACCCAAAGATGACATCTCTTTAATAGGTCAAAGTCATTTAATGCCCGAGAAATGCTCCCGTTACCTGTGTGTGCTGTTTATCTCCTTGTCTGTTCTCAAGTTTACTACTTAAGTCTTCCCGCAGCTTCTTCAAAGAACTTCTAGCCTGGCAAAGGCAAGTCAATTTAGCTTGATCTACATGGACAGTGTCACCCAGTCTACCGGAGACCAAACGCAGGCACCACGGCCGCGAGGGTGCCCGGTGCCAGTCTGCATCCTCCAGTCTCACTAGGGCCCTGCCTGCGAGCAGCGTGTCCCTGGCAGGTACAATCCTCACGAGGGGCTGCCCCGTTTGTGCCCATCATGGGCAGAAGAATGAAAGAGAGGAAAGCAAAACCAGCAGCCTGGAAATGCCACTGATTCTTCATGCTTTACTCATCGATTCCACCTCTTGAGCTGTACGAAGCCCCTCGCTGCACCCCAGCTCCCTCTGTGCTGCGCTGCAGGACGCTGACAAGTACAGTCTTGACTCGCAGCTACTCGAATTAGTCAGAGCAAGCGAGCCAGAGGAATGATTTACAGGATTTACAGCAAACGCTGCCCCAGCACTGTTCAAAGAACCACTTTCTCAAAGCTTTAGCAGCGTGGCTTCATCCCTACCCCTTGGGTTCAAGTGCCCAAGGTGCTGGGGCAAAGCAGTTTGCCTGGGACCAGCAGCAGGACAAGGGGAGAGCACGACGTGCACTCTCGGGTCGGCAATCCATGACTTGAATCCAGCTGGATCAAGACATCCCCAGGGTTTTTACACCACATCCCAGCACAGGGCACTTCTCTAGGATGCAGACAGACTGGTACCACGACTTGCTGGTTTTAGCTTATTCTCTGGGTTTCACATGCAGGATTAAGTTGTGCTGCACGGTTACGCTGCTTCAGCTATTCTGATAGGGCCATATACAGCCTCTGCGGCCAGGCAAGGTCTAAGTCCCACTCAACTACTGCTAAGAGGCCCTTTTAACACCCAGCCTGTTTCCATCTGAGCTGTGGGGAGCTATGGGAAGGCTCAGATCAGAAGAGCTGAAGCCGAAGCCCCAGGAGTGGGAAGGATCACGCAGAAACAGTGCAGCATCCAGGTGGCTTCGAGATCAGGTCTGATAAGGTGAGCAACACCCTGGAGGCTGCACCAGGCAGGTTGCAGGCAGGAGGCAACGGGAACAGGCTGTTTTCTTCCGGGGAGGGGGGGAAATCCTGTGTTTTGGCAGAGGAGTTGGAAGGATGACATGGAAGACGTGGAGGCTGCTCTGCCAGATCTGCCCCTCTCTGCTCCCAAGGGGAGCTCAGCACAGCACAGATTCCCCCACCCCGGAACAGCAAACTCAAATCTCATAGTTTTTGCCCCCTTTTTCTCTTTTTTGGTTGTTTTTCAGGCCAAGCTGCCCAGACCAGAACATGCCCCAACCGCTGCCGTGCCTCGCAACCAGCTCTGCAGAAATAACATCCCCACCAGGAGCAGAGGAAAGGGTTAATCTCCCCAGAGCCTCATCATCCAGTTTACTTTGGGAGATGAGACATTCCAAAGAAACTGCCTTTTAACAAGAGGCTCCGGTTGTGCCGCACCCAGGCACGCAGGGGACAGCCTTGGGGGAAAGTCATCGCGCAATTCTCTTCAAATTCAGTCCATATAGCAGAGCAATTAGTCAGGCTGAATTAATTTATGGCGCTTGATTAGACTACTGCCCTGTGCAGGCAAGTCAACAAACAGGAGGGTTCAGCTCCGCTGCCAGTTTGCCAGCACGGTTGGGGCTCAGCCGGGGTTCAGGTGCCACAGCCGGCGATGGGGAACCCTATGGAACACCCTGGGGGGAAGCAAAGCAACCCCGACCCCACTGCAAGCACCCCCATGGCTGCATCAGCGGCACAAACCAGAGCCCCTCGCGTGGGAGCTACCTCTTGGATGTAACGAACTTCACTCTTGAGCTGGTTGACGTGCTCCTCGTGGTTCATGCTGCCCTCAGCCCGTGCCTTGAGATAAACCTGGCCAGGAGAGACGGTGGCAGCGGGTTAGACCGTCCTGGTGCTGCCAGCCCAGGAATACCAGCAGCAAGCCCAGATCCAGGCTCTCCTGCATTCCCCCAAGCCACCCGGGCACATCAGGGAGCTTTTACCCACATAACTTCAGACAAAGCCTATATTCGAGCTCCACTTATGAAACAAGCAGTCGGGCTGCTTAGGACCTTACCTTGATGATCTCCTCATCACCGTCGTTGGATTTGATGCACTCAGAGGCCAGGGAGTGACCGTTGCTGGATCTGTTGGCCACCATGGCGAAGGCTTTTCCCACCGGCTGCAGACAGAAGCACAGAGAGGTGAGACTGGCTGGAACGGTTCGCCCGGCTCCAGGCAAATGAGCACCGGGCACTGTCACAGGGGAACGCGGCGCCGAGCACGGCCTCGGGAGCCAGCACCAAGCATGGAACAGACCAGGAGGTGAGTTTCCCACTTCACAAAGCATAAAGTGACCAAGCCCCCCCTCCCCACGTTAACTCAAACCGGTGTGAGCCCCACCTTCTGCTTGGTGACCTGCTCGCGCCTATCACCCGGGAGGTCATTGGGCAGAGTCAGCCTCAGCACCTTCACGTTCTCCTAAAACAAGAAGCAGGTTTTATGTTTTATTTAGCTTTAAACGTGGATCCCTTGAAAGTCTGCTTGTGGCCAGCACGAGCCAAGAGCCAGGTCGGCATCGCTACGGATGCAGGACGATTGCCTTCCCCCCTGCTTTGAGCTGGGCAGACACTGGGATTGGAATGAGTAACAGCAAGCACACGACTGCATTCGTCAAACCCATCAGAGCCCGGAGGAGCTGTGGCCCAGCCAAGGCTGAGGTAATGCCGACGGGCTGGAGAAGCGATTGCCAGGCTCCGTTTTGTGCATGCCCTCCTCTGCCAGGAGATACAGCCCTCACCCGTCACTGCAGCCCCTGCGGCAGGGCCGACGCGCGGCGCTCGGTACCAGCCATGGCAAAGGGTGGAAGCAGCCATTCCCAGCCTGTGCACCGGGACCGTGCCAGATTCATCCTTCTCGCTGCCCTACCACGACAGCCATGGGCCCTATGGCTCTGCCTGTGCCCTGCTGGCATAGCCCTGCCACAGCGTAGCCCAGCAAGACACCACAGGGCATCCATGGAGGCTCCAGCTAGGACCCGGTTTGCCTTCAGCACTTAACTGCTCCCCCAAAGCCTTCCCGTTCCTCCCACTTCAGCCACGTCCAGCCCCATGCACAGCCCAGCGAGCTCCCATGGAGCATGCAAAGAGCCCTACAGCAGTGCGCAGACACCCAGAACACTCCATGGTGTTGCCCATTCTCCATCCACAGCTTAACACCGGGACCGTGCACCCACAGCACCACGCACTCCCCTTCCCATACAGACCTCACTGCTGTCACTCATGGTCCCTATTAAACAGGTCCGGGAAGCAGGAACTGTTTGGTGCCGCAGCGGGCTCTCAGGCAGCAGCACCGCGGAGCCGGGGTAGGTGCCGGGCGCCCGCCCCTCGCCACACCTCGGCCACGTCAGCCTCCTGCTCTCCAAAAGCAACATCAAGGTATTTGTGCCTCCTGCTTCCAAGCGCTCCCCGCGCCATCCAAGTCTCAACAAGCCATCTGTTTGTTTCCAAACTATTTTGTGTACGTTGCTCACGCAAACGCCGGCTCCTGGGAACTGAGGAGCCCTCCTACAGATCCCAACGGCGTCACCAGACCCCTTTTTTCCCCCCTTGTGAAGAGAAACCTCGCTTGCACCCTGCTTGCACTCAGCAGCAGCACCATTTAACCAGATACTTCTCTGCAAGCTTTACTGCAGGGAATGTTTTCCTTGGCGAGACCCATGAAGTTGGAAAAACTTTGGTCAGGAAAACCCAACCCATGGTTTTGGGAAGGTGCAAGACGCACTCGGGGCTCCACGGCAGGGAAAGCGGCTGCACACGCAGCATCGCTCAGCACCTCTATGTGCCCAAAGCCAAGGGGACCCAGGACAAGGCCAGGGGTGGGGGCATGGAGCAGCCCCATGCCCACGGGGTGCCGCAGCAGGGCGGGAGCCTTGGCACGGCGGAGACGCCGGCAGCTCCCGGGCCCTTTCACGCGCCCTTACTCGCAGCTTTGTTTACAAGCGTCAGGATCTGATGTTCCCCGTCCCGTCAAGCCCAGGCAAGGGCGGGAGGCTGCCAGGGAATCGCTCGCCCGGGGAAGATCCGCTGCGATAAGGAACAAGCACCAGCCCATCGCCATCCCCGCAGCCAGAACCGCCTGGAGCCGGCGCGCGGGTGCTTTACCGCCCCAGCAGACCCCAGGGAAACCCCTGCATCAACCCCGCCGTGGAGAGGAAGCAAAGAGCACCTGGTGCCTTCCCAGCCGGCACCGGCACCGGCACCGGCACCGGCACCGGCACCACCAAACCTCGGGTCACACAACCAGGAAACCTCCCATGCAAATGCAAAGGCTCCGGCGCCTCCAACCTCCCGTGCCTGGGGAGGCGGAGGGTGGCAAGGCTGGAGCTGGATGCTCCTGGTTCTCCATGGAGGAAACCAGCCCCTCGGTGTGGGGAATGCCGCGGAGGAGGCCGGTGCAGGAGGCAGAAGCCGCAGCCGGCTTGAGCCAACCCATCCCGGCCCAGCTTGTTTGTCTACAGCAGCCCTGGTTGTGGGGACCGGGCAGAGAAACGTCCCTGAGCTCGCCAGCGCCAGCACAGTTGTTCTGGGGCTTTGTTCTTACCATCCCACATACAAAGTCTTACCAGCTCCTCGCTGCAGTCCACAACAAGGAGCTCCTCCACCATAAAGCCAGAGCAGCCCAGAAGGATGCTGTGGATAGCACAAGCAGCCCTCCTGCTCTAAGGGGCTGAATTTGGCCCTATCCCTCTCCTTCCCCTCCTGGCTGGTGTTAAAGCTGCTCTGCCAACACTCACCTCCAGCTCACAGCCCCAGAGCAGAGACGGCAGCGGGTGGCAGGCCCTCTCCTTTATGCTCAAGGGAAGGCAGGAGGGTTTTGCACCGTGCCCAGTGCTGGGATGTGCCTCACACTCATCTCCTGCTTGGAAAAACCCCACCTCAGATGGAAAACGGTGCCTCACACCCAGCCTGGCACCCTGAGAGCTGCTCCCGCCTGGCAGCGCGTGGTTGTGGCTTTTACTACCAGCCTCGGGAATTCCCTGCGGTGGGTAAGGTCTGGGCGATGGCTGCGCTCCCACCCAGTGCCCTTCGGGAGGCGTTCCCAACATCCCGGCTGCCCTTTGGGTCCAACTGCCCAGCGAGAGCCGGGTCCCCTGGCAATGAGAGCAAGCGGGATTGGCACGGCTGAGGACAGGCGGGTTTTCAGCGACACCAAAGCTGATTTTAGATCTTTTGGGTCTACTTTACACCCTCCAGGCCAAGACAAACCCACTTGGGAAAAGCTGGCGGGAAAGGCACCAACCCTGCTCCTGGGGAAGGGGGAGCCACTCAAATCCCAACCCTACCCCAGCAGCGCCATCCGAGGACCCACAAACGACAACCCCGACGCCAGCGTTTTGCAACCACGGGTGCCCCATCCATCCATCAATCCCGACTGCTCAATGGGAACAGGCCTGACCTGACCCAGAGGGTATCGCCAAGGATCAGCAGCCAACAGCTCCGGCGCTTGGAGCTCGCCGGCGTTACGGAGGCGCTTATCACCGTAATAACCCATTAGCCAAACGAGCCCAACTCTGCAATCGCTCCTTATAAGGCCGGGAGAGCTGTGGGGAATTAGGGCTCTCCAGAGGAGACTCAGAGCTGAGTCACCCGGCGGGGCTCAGCCGGGAGCCGCACCGGGGCAGGAGCCGAGCACCGGCGCGGTTCTGCCGCCGCCGCCGCCTTCGGGGATCCCTCCAGTTGCCGAAACAGGAGCAAAAGCCTGAACCGCCCGCGGGCCGCAGGTGGCTTCGGCCCCTTGATGGGGCCATGGCGGCGGCATCGGCGTTGGGGCGCTGCCAGCCCCACCCAGGGCCCGTCCTCGCAGCGATGGGGGAACCAACGATCACGGAGGGAAGAACGCGGGGCCCGGCTGTAACCGAGCATGGGAGCACCAGGACAGACCTGGAGCCAGCAGCTCCCAGCACTGTGGCCCCGGGAGGTGCTCGAAGGGTGCGAGACCTCAAACCCCACATTGCCCAGGGCCAGCCACTGGCCAGGAGCCCCCCATAAGCACATTAGGGGACAGTGGGAGCCCAATAGCGATGCTGTGGTATCCCCAATGTGCTCCGCCGCCCGCCCCAGTTGCGTCCACCCGAGCCCCCAGGGAAGGGGCAGGAAGCAGAGCCCCACAGAGCACGGCCGCGCTGCACCGCACCGGGACCCCCGGGGGACCCCTCGGAGAGGGGCGGCCCCGCGGACCGGGAGGGAGGTAAAGGGAGGAGCAGTGGGTGCCGAGGGGGGGGGTTCGGGTCTCGTCTCACCGGGCTCTCGCCGTGGGGCCGCACGTCCAGCACCGCGCACCAGCCCCGCACCCCGTTCATGGCCCCGCCGCGACTGCCCGCACCCGCCGCCGCCGCGCCTTATGGATGGCCCCGCCCCTCCCGGGGACACGCCCACCGCGACACGCCCCCGGAAGCCACTCCCATCTCCGGTAGCCGCGCCCCTTCTCATTTAACCACGCCCCGGTGCCTTGGCCACGCCCCCTCGCCCTGGGACCGTCCCCGGACCGTGACCGGGCACCGTGAGCGGGGCCAAAGGCAACCAAAGCTGTGCCAAAACCATCCCAAAGGCAACTCAAAGCCAAGCCAAAGCTGTGCCAAAGCCATCCCAGGGGCAACCCAAAGCCACATCAAGCCCTGCCAAGCCCCAGCCGGGCTCTGCCAAGCCAAGTCGGTGCGTGCCCGGCAGTGCCAAGTGGTGGGATGCTGGCACTGAGCTGTGCCCAGCTGTGCTGTGGTGCCCGAAACTGTGCCAGGATTTGCTTCCCCTTTGCTTGAAGGAGGTGCCAGCAGGAGGTACTGGGGTGATGCCACCCAGCCACACACTGCGGTCAGGCCCACTGGGTGCTGTGACCCCTTGCCTGTGCCGGTGCCAGTGTCCCTGTGCCAGGGCGGGCAGCCTGGGTGTGCTGGCGGCCGCCTCTGCGGGCACTAATTGCCACATAGCAGTGTGATGAGCTCAGCCGGCCTCAAGTTCACCGCCGGCCCCAGCCCTGTGCGGTCACAGGGGCCGAGCTGGGGCCACGCTGCAGCTCCGGGGTGCAGACAGCCCCGTCCGGAGGGCTGGGGCAGCGGGAGGCACTGCAGGCTGAGGGGGTCCCTGCCTTGGGGCTGGGGGCAGGACCAGCAGCGGTCAATGTGGGTCACACTCAACCATGGGAGCCAGCACCTCCCCTCGGGCACCTGCAGCCCCCTCCCCAGTGCAGTGCCCCAGGGGGGAGCCAGGGCCCAGCAGCCCCATCCCGGGGGGGGGACAGGCACAGGGTGGGGACCGCGGTTGACCTGGGCTCCACCACACGTGTCCGGGAGGAGCCGAGGGCAGAACCGGTTGTGCCGGCCCGGCTCAGCCGCAGCGGGGACGCCGTGGGCGCGGAGCCCAGCGCTGGGCACGGCCCTGGGCGGTGGTGATGCAGAGACAGGACCTGAGAGGGGATGAGGGTGTCCCTGGTGTCACCACCGCACGTGGCCCTTCCAGCTCCATCCCGGTTAAACATCACCGCGGTGCAGGTGGGGAAACTCAGGCAGCAGCAATGAGGCGGGCGGGAGCCCTGGCCCCATCCCAGCCCAGCGCTGGCTCAGGATGGAGCCAGATCGAGGTCACGGAGGGGAACTGCGGTAAGCACCTGCCAATCACGGCAATGGCACTAATTAGCAGTTGGCAGGACTCCCATCCGCTGTAATTAGCGATAACGAGGATTTATCTCTAGGCCAGATCCAGCGGAGCGGGGAAGGAGCTGCGTGCCCTGAGCCGGGCAGGGCCCCGGTGGCACAGAGCCCCGTGTGCCGCAGCCTGCGCCATGCCCCAGCCCTGATGGGGGATGAGCCACAGGCCTTCAACCACGCGGTTTTATTTAAAACCCCAGGTGGGGAGGGAAAAGGCAGCGGGGGACGAGGGGCAATTGCATATAAAAACAACCCAGGATGCCCTCAGCACCCCCCTGGCAGGCACCGAGGGGCACCCCGGCTGTGGGGCGCAGCTCCCCACTGACAAAAACCACAGTGCAAATGCACCCTGAGACCCGTATGAAGATGAAGAGGCAAGACAGCGACTGGGGGGACTCCCCAGCCACCCCTTTGCCTTCATGTCATTGGTGTCAGAAGAGTTCCTGCATGGAGCAGCAGCATCCCTGGCTGCTCCGTTGTGCCGCTCTAAGGCTCCGCTCCAGGCTGGGGCAGCGCTGGTGGCATCAGCAGGAGCTGGTCTGGAGGTTGGCCTCATTGAGCAGAGAGGCGATGGAGGAGGGCCCGTAGGCGCTGTCGAACTCCTCGTCCGAGCTGAGCTGATCGTCTTGCAGTGAGGAATCAGCGGCCGAGCGGGCGGCTTTGCGCCTGGGGATGGGGAAAAGAGCTGAGCCCCAGGCTGGGCTCAGGGCTGGGACCCCCCTCCAGCACCACGGCCCCTACCAAGCCTCCTTCTCCAGCGCCTTGATGCGGTTCTGGAGCTGCTCGTTGAGCTCATGCTGCTCCTCCAGCTCCCGCTGCGCCTTCTTGCGGGCGCCCTCCAGCCGCTCAATCTCCTCCTCTGCCTCATCTACTTGACGCTTCAGGGCCTTCACCCGCAGGCTCAGCTGCATGGAAAGCGCAGTTCCCATGGGGTGAGGATGGCTGGTGCAGGGCAAGCACCCAAGCTGGGGTCCTGAAGCCGATGGGCACTCGAGGGCTCCCATCCATCACTCACCTGGTCCTTCTGGTTGCTGACGTTCTGCCGCTCGTCATCGATCTGGATGGTCAGCTCCTTCACCTTCCTCTCCAGCTTGCGGTTGGAGGACAGCAGGACGCTCTTCTCCCTGTGGGGAGGCAGCGGGTGGGGAGGGCACCCAGTGACAGCAAGGAACCCCCCAAGGCTGAGGTCTCCATGGCCAGTACCTCTCCTCCGCCTGTAGCTTGTCCTGCAGCTCCTCCACCTGCGCCTCCAAATGTGAGACGTTGCTGCTGGGCTTCTGCAGCCCCTCCGAGCTGGCCAGGCGGCTCTTCAGCTCCTTGTTCTGCAGGAGAACCCCCCCCCCCAAGAGCCGTCCCCATCAGGGAATGATGGGACCAGGAGGATGGGGTGGACTGTCCACAGAGCGGGTGGAGGACAGGGAAAACAGCAGGAAAAGCTCCTTGGGAACACAGCCCCTTTCGCAGAGATGCTCTAGGGAGGAGCAGGGATGGATGGGGGTGCTTTGCCCTGCATCCCCGCAGGATCTCTGCGTCTCAGCCGTACCTGCCTCTCCAGCGAGACCTTGTCACACTCCAGGTCCTGCCGGCAGGAGCGCTCCTGCAGCAGCTCTGCCCGCAGCTGCTCCATCTGGGACAAGGACAGGGCACAGGTTGGTTCTGCCGCAGCCTTGGAGGCCACCGCAATTCCCCCCCACCGATGTCAGCAGCGCCGCAGAGCACGGGCGGACTCATCGCACCCATTCCCACGCACAGAGCCACGATCGGCATCACCAAAACCCGCAGCGAGAGGGGTTTGGTTCTGTCCTAAATTAGTTACCACCGCTCTGGCGGCCGGCCCAGGATGAGGGCTGGGATGTTCTGCTGGAGGGTTTAAACTGGTTGGACTGGGATGCGGGGACCCGGCTGCCCTCCCAGCCCTGCGGGGGCAGGAATGGGTTGGATCCACTGGTGCAGCAAAACCAGAACCGCCCCAGGGGCCTGTCCCGGGTTGACCAAGGCAGAACACGCAGCTTGGTGCGTTGTTTCAAAGCAAAGGGAAGGGGAGTTCCTATGAAAACTGGCTTGAATGTTATTCAAGCAGCCCCAAGAGCCATGCAAGCATGCGGTTTCATGCACATCCCTGGCTCCACAGCTTCAGACACATCCAAGACCCACAGGAAGTCTCCCCTGGGATGCGCCCCTCTTTCAGATGGAAAAAAACGGGAAACCCACCCATTTCCCAGCTTGCCATAGCCTGCGGGGTGGGAATCCCCTCCCAGCCCCAGGCACTGGGGGACAGGAGGGGGACAGACTGGAAGCACAGGAGCTGCCGGTTCTGGGATACAGGCAAATCCCGGTGCTACTCAGAGCTCCAGCACTGGCTCCGGCTTTGAGGGCAACAGGCACGGGGGTTAAGAGGGAGGCAGCGTTTGAGCACCGCTGCCTTGTGCCAAGCTCCCGTCATTTCCGCTCACGCCCGACCCAGCTTTTCTGACACCATCACCTGGGCTGTGTTCGGGGACAGGCTCCTTGCTAATGACTCGTTCATGGGGGTTTAACTCCGGTGACCACTTGTACCCGGTGCCGCTGTGCCAGCGGCTCTGCCACTGCGTCAGCCGGGATCGGGGCGGCATCGTCTGCCCTACCTGGTCTCTGCTCCGGTTGACCCTCTCTGTCAGCAGCTCCACTGTGCTCCGCTCCTCGTCCAGCTCCACCTCCAGGCGCTTGGACTTCTCCTGCGAGGAGATGGAATCAGTGGGGCCTCAGGGTCCCTGCGAGCTCGGGACAGCGCTGGGAGTGCTCAAGGAATGGGGCTTTGCTCCCAGAACACTTCCAGTCCAACAGGACCCAACCGGCCTGGGGGGCTCCAACACAGCCTCAGAGGCAGGGTAAGGGGGATACTCGGACATCAGACACACGCAGCCTGATGCTGTGCGGACCCCTGCGCACCCATCACCCCGCTGCGGGGGAGCCACCCACAGAACAGCGTCCTGCGGTGCGCGGAGCCGCAGGGAAGCACCGGATAGAGCCCAAACGTGATCGATGCGAGCGCTGTCGGCTGCGGACGAAGCCCTCGCAGCGGCCGCGGGATGCCTGGGCCAGCTCTGCCCACTGCTGTCAGCGCTGAGCACTGCAGCCCCGGGGGGAGCCGCTGAGCGCTGCTCCCCACCTCCAGCGCCTTGACGTGCCGCGAGCGATCGTCCTGCGAGCGCCTCTTGGACTCCATCTCCTGCTCGAGGTTGTGCAGGCGCTGCAGCAGCACCTCCTTGTCCAGCACCACGCTCTCCCGCTCGGCCTGGCTGTCCTGCAGCGCCTGCTTCAGCCGGGCAACCTGTGGGGAAGAGGTGCCCCCATCCCAGGTGTCCTCAAGCCGCCCACCGAGGGATGGAGAGGGTGGTGCGGGGGGCTCACAACGCACCAGCCTGCGCCCATACCTCGTCCTGCAGCCGCCCCATGCTGATCTGCATCTTCTCCACCTCGGCGCCCCGATCCTTGGCTTGTTTCTGGGAGTCGGTGATCTCCTTCCGTGACTTCTCCTTGAACTCCTCCAGCTGTGACTTGAGCACAGTCAGCGAGCTCTGCGACTCCGCCGTCATCTGCTCCAGCTGCGGTGGAGCGGGGACAGCTCAGGAGCTGGGGACCAGCCTCTGCCCCCATCCTGAGCTGATGGGACTTGAGGTGGGAGAAGATCCCCGTGGGCATGGGACTGGGAGGACATTTCTGCCCCATAGGCTCATGGTGAGGGGTGCAAG